GACTGTCCTCGAAGAAAAAGCAAAACAACACTCCTCGAACGAATCCATCCACCTACGAGCTACCTCCATGTTTTATTTCGCGTACACGCGCACCGTTTCCACGTACGGTCGCCACTGCTTGGTCTGTTCCACATTCACGGGGATAGATGGCAGCACTGATTGTCAATTGTGGCGCGTCACCTTGTGAACGCCCTGCTCCGTGATAAATAGCAAAAAGTAAATGATATAAAGAGAGAAAGAAAGAGAAGAGTCCTCGATGATCATCGGCCAGCTTAAAACTCTGGACCAAGTCGATGCGAAATTAATTGAGGTGCGGAAACGGAAACGGAACGAGGAATCGTCGTGGGAAAATTGAACGCTTGATCTCGCGTTTCAAAATTCGAGAGAGACCAGGGAAACGACGATCATCGTTCAGAGTCGGACGTGTGTGTAAAGAGTAGCGAAGCGGAAGCCGGAGCACCGCCGATCGAGCACTATGATTTTATGTTCCTTGGGCTGAACTGTAACACACGCTACCTTATCTCTCTGTTTCTCTGTATGTGTGTATATATATTACATAGCATATGCGAACGTATGCATACTCATATATCTGTGCATGTGTATGTACGAAAATGTGCGTATGCGAGCGCGCGAGCCATGCGATCTAAAGCTGATGGATACGCTATATAAGAAAGGAGTTCGTTACAATAGACTATAGTTACCGCGATCTTTCAGTCGCTCAATTCACGAGCGATTATAGAAACAAACGAACGAAACACAGTATAGAGGCAAATCAATTTTAGATCGCAACGAATTCTCCGTGGACCTCTAGTGTAAGAAATATTTGCGTACAATCACTAACTAGCCGTTAAAAGGAAAAAAAAGGAAAAAGGAAAAGGGACAAAAGTGTATGCTCGTCCTGTGAGACGGGACCTGTGTGTACCTTGTATAGTACGAGAACACTATCGCGCATGCGTTCACTTATCGACTGAGAATCGATTCTATCGACTCACTTTCGGGATCGCTGTCAGCGTCGCGAAGCACCTGTTCATATGTAGATAAAAAGAAAAAAAAAAAAAAGCGCACTAGTGACTATAGTGCCGGCTCTAACCGAATAAATAATAGGAAAAAATGTGTAGGAAATGGAAAATCATTGAAACAAAACGGGAAAAAGGAATAACGGAACAAGGTGAATGCAAGCAACATGCTAGAACGTGAAATAAAAGATACGTGGACCGAGCGAAATTGTCAGAGTCCGATTTACCGTTGTAAATTAAAATAATATAATGGTGTAAAGATTACCAAAAAAAGAACCAAAAACAAAAAAAGACAAAACTGGAACAAGGAGACAAAACGAAGCGTAGGGAAAACGATACATAAGTAGCATTTTTTAATGACTTTGTGATAACGTTGTACCGTACATAGGATTGGACTAGGGTCGCTTTTTAACGTGTGTATGATAGAAATAAGCGTGGCATGAAAACTTAATGATGGAAAATTCCAAAATAGAAGAGAAAAAGCTGGACGAAAAGCAGAGAAACAAAATTTTTCATCGCTGACACTTCACTAGCGTGCACGCGATCATTCTTATTTTCTTTCTTTTTTTCTTTCTCACCCACTTTATCGCCCGTACCAAAGGGGTACTTACGATTCATGTTTTTAATTATGATCTCCGTTGTGTTCGAGCCTGTAGACGAAATATGTGCCCATGGGCAAACAAATTTGTACGTTCGTGTACACGATGAGAAGGAAAAAGAAGAAAATTGGAAATATTAGAGAAATTCAATCGCCAAGATGGCGGTCACGTGAACAGTCACGTGATTGTATACGAATTAATCTTGAGTCAGTAACCATTTTTGTTACGTCGAATGCGTCAAATATAGATGATTTTACGAAACACGTAAACAGACTTGTACTTTGTTAGTTTTGTTCTTGTCTACGTAGCGTTTAAGTTTTTAGAAACGATATAGAAGCGGCCAGGATCTTCTATTCAAATTTGTAAGTTTTAATTGATCCTCTGAGGTTCAGAATTTCTATACGAAGACACTTACGTCGTTACTGATACAAGATTAACTCATCGAAGTCATTGTAAGGTACTTAATTTCATTGTAAGCTTAAAAAGAAGGTATACGATTCCTGCATAGAAAAGCAGAAAAAAAAGAGAAACAGGATATAAATATGGAGAGTCCAGAAATGAAAGCTGGTAACTTTCAAGTGAAGCTAATCCAGTCTGCATGTTCCTTACATTTTTCTTATCGCCAGTTTAACAAAGATTTACATATTCTATAGCGTCACTCTATTATTTAAAAATGAAAAAAAAAAAAAAAAAAAAAAAAAAAAAATGGTTAAAATTATAGCACGATAATGGAACATCGCAAGCTCTCCCTTTGCATGGAAAATCGAAAAACTGAGAAGAACGTTGCATAAAATGAAAAGCTTCATCTTCGACCTTGAAAGAGGAGTATCGGATTCAAAGTGCTTCAGTTTCGAATCATTCGACTTGGATTAAATCCAATTGGTTGTTTTACACTAAATGATCATGAATTTCATAATTCAAGCGTATCAACAAGACAAATTTCGTTGCAAAGTATAATCAAATTATTTTTTATATCGAATCACTTATTGACTTCTGCACGAGAGAAGAGTTAATGATGGATTCTATAATTGAAAGAATAATTAGAGAGTAGTAATCGACATAGAATCGCAGAGAATAGTAAATAACACAATTAATCGCATGAATTTGTCTTGTAGATATGATTTAGAACAAAATCTGTTCGTCATTGAAGAATGAAAAATAGCTGGAGTGTATGGGTGATCATGGCTGGCTCTCTTTCTAATCACTCATTTCTACCGAATCTTCCCTTTCGTCATTTCCCCTTCTCCCCTCCTCTTCGTTATCAAAGGGTTCGTTGAAATTTTGAATTAATAGCTGTAATTGATTAGAAAATCTGATTGAAAAAAAATTTTCTGTTAAGTATAACTCGAGCATCGGTCGAATAAAGAAAGTACGTTCTTTTCGACGATGCTGATACACAATTTATACGCACGCGTCAAACCAAATGAACGGAGCTACGAACGTTTATCTCTTACGATTCTGTTGAAAAGAATAAAGTAAAATAATATATGAGATGATCCATCAAAAATAGGAAACAATTGGGATAAAAATTGAGTAGAAAATAAGAGCTACTTTTATTACAAATATTTCTTTTTTAATATAATTAAAATTATATATAATTTGTCAAATAAATTAATATATTTATATTAAATTAGAGATTTGTTAAAATAAGTTTAATAATATTGTCACTTTTTTCGTAGTAACATTTATAGGATTGAAACAATAATTATCGAAAAGTATTAATTTGAACATTTAATTTCTGTATAGGCTTTTCAATATAATATGATTCTGTAATTCTAAGTTATAACTATTGAATTATCTAGATTGGATTGTTAAAAAAGTAGTAACAAAATTTAGAACGATAAATTATTGACAGTTTATTGTATTTAAATTTTAATATACTGCGTAGCTTATATTAGTTTATAACAGTCCTAAAAGCAGAGGGTCCAAAGAGCTTCTTATAGAATCTAATTAATTCGCTATGAAATTTTTCCTTTTTTCTTTAATCTCTAAACTTACCTAGAAAAGTGAATTTATTTGGAGGAAATAAATTATCTTTGCTTATCTAATTGCTTGCCTAATAGTTGGGTAAACAATTCCATTCTGTAATTATGATTAATTTTAATGAAAAGAAAAAAGGAAGGGAAATGATTATCAATCAGTCATTATGTAATAATCAACATATCTACAATTTTATTATGAATATACGTAGGAAAAATATTTATATATGGGTTTTTGATGGGATCATCCGGTGTCAATTGTAATATAGATGATCGTTACGTCATGCTCCGTGCCAATTACCAAAGACGTCTCTTTAATTAATCGATGTACTTACGCACCGTTAACAACTAACTCTTTCTCTCTCACACACACGCACGTTCAGCCGATATACATACATATTACAATTAATTTTGCGTGAGGTTAAACGTTCTCTTAAGTTTTTGTACACGTGAATACAAATGGAGCCTAGTCAGAAGTAACATTACGAATTAATATATCACCATTTTTATGTTTCATCTCTCACCTGATTCTCCTCAGCACGTGCGTTTATTTCGTTGTTAAACAAAACATGAAAAAAAGAAAAAAAAAGTAATGGAAAATAGTGCTGCTACGTTGATCACCATCATTAGTACGATTATTATTATTATTATTATTATTATTATTATTATTATTATTATTATTATTATTATTATTATTAACACTTTGTAGGAATGGTGTTTACGATTATTATTTGTAGGATTTTTGTTTGTTAGGCGATCATTATGACGCTAAGCGGATCATTTCGATCGCGGTGCAATAAACTTTTGTATCAATTTTTACAAAAGCTTCCCGGGGAAAGAGATCAAACGAACAACGGATCACTCGTGCGACGTACTTAATGAGTTGTTCATTCTATCAAATACAATAAGCAGACATATTTTAAACGATGGAAATATCTTTCCATTATGCCCGTGTACATTATACAATTCATTCGTTTAAATGAGTATCAACGTTGTCCAAATGATGTTACGTAAATCCGTGCATGAATCGAAACAAATGAGTGATCCGCTTCGTTTCGATCCATCGTAACTACCGTTGCTGTCAATACCACTGCAATTGGTCATTTACCGCTAGATTATAATATCTTCTTTCTTCTTTTCTTCGTTTTAAACGCTAGAGATAACATGATCCGTAAACCAATGTCACGTTTCACGGATATATATGTCGTCCCTGCAATGTTAACAGATTATAGT